TTTTTTTTTTTTTTTTTTTTTTTGGTACCAGGGATCAAACTCAGAACTTTGTGCTCGTGAGGCAGGCACAGTATCACTGAACTAAATCCGCAGCTCTCTAACAGCCATTCTTTTTGGAGTAAGATGGTACCTTAGTGTTGTTTTCATTTTCATCTCTCAAACGACCAGTGACAATGAACATTTTTTCATTTATTTATTTGCTAATTCAATTTCTAGATCTGAGAACTGTCTGTTCATTTCAGATGTCCATTTTTGGATTGGTTCTTTAAATTTGGTGGGATCTAATTTTTTTGAGTTCTTTGTACATTCTAGATTGTAGTTCTTTCTTAGGGAATAGCTGGCAAACATTTTCCCCCACACTGTGGGTTGTCTCTTCACTCTGTTGGTGGTTTTTCTGGCTGTGTAAAACACAGTATATAAAACACATTTAATACGATGAGATCCCAGTTGTTGATTCCTTGTTATTTCCTGTGTGATCGAGATTCTGTTCATGAAGTCTTTGCCTACACCAAAGTCTTCAAGAGTTCTGCCTTCCAGTAGATTGTTTTAATATTTTGACCAGTGATCCATTTTAATTTTACTTTAACGCACAGGGAAAGGTCTTCAGTTTTAATCTTCAGCGAGTGGAAAGGCAATTTTTCCAAAGTCATTTATTCATTTTTTTCAATGATACAAATGGCTTTTTATCTAAAAGTAAAAGTTTGCATTTGGATGCTTTTGCACAATTAATGTGATCTCCGTCCAGCATCGCTTATTAAAGAGGCTATCTTTCGAGTGAGGGTGTTTGGCTCCTTTGTCAAGAGGAGGTAGCTGAGTGTGTCTGGAGTTGTTTCTGCATGTGCCAATCTGTTCCACTGATCCTTGGGTCTGTTTCTGGGGGAGTAGTACCATGCTGTTTTTATCACAGTAGCTTCATAGTATAATTTCAAGTTAGGGATTATGATGCCTCCTGCCTTGCCTTTGTTGCCTAGGATTGCCTTTGCTATTCTAGGTTTCTTCTGGTTTCAAATGTGTTTTAGGATTGTTTTTTCTAATTCTGTGAGATATGCTGTTGGAATTTTGATCAGATTGCATTAAATCTGTTTAACAATTTTGGGCTATACTGCTTATTCCTACCCAAGAACAAGGGTTATCTTTCCATTTTCTTTCTTTCTTTTTTTTTTTTTTTTTGAGACAGGGTCTCACCAGGAATTCACTATGTAGCCCAGGCTGGTTTCGAACTCACAGTGATCCTTCTGCCTCAGCCTCCCAAGTGCTGGGATTACAGGTGTGAGACACCATGCCAGGCTTTTTTTTTTAATGTTCTTTTTATTTTTGGTACTGGGGATTGAACTCAGGTCCTTGCGCTTGCAAGGCAGTCATCAGAACCACTGAGCTAAATCCCTGGCTCCTTACATTTTCTAATGTCCTCTTCAATCTCCTTTTCAAAGTACTGTAATTTTCAGCCAGGCGTGGTGTTGCACGCCTGTAATCCCAGCTCTCGGGAGGCTGAGGCAGGAGAATCGATGTGAGTTCGAGACCAGTCTGGACTACATAGTGAGTTTCAGGTCAGTCTCAACTACATAGTGAGACCCTGTCTCAAAAATCAAAAAAACAAAGGCTAGAGATTTAGTTCAGTGGTTCTGCCACCTGCCTTGCAAGCTCAAGATGCCGAGTTCGATCCCTGGTACCTCCTCCCAAAAAAACAAAAACACAAAACAAAGTACTGCAATTTTCAATGTAAGTCTTTTACCTCCTTCATTAGTTTGATACCATTTTTTGGATGCTATTGGGAAGATGCTTCACTAATTTCTGAGTTTGTTATTCATGTACAGGAACATGATTGATTTTTGAATGTTGTCTTTGTATCCAGCTATATTACTGAATTTGGTTATTAAATCTAGAAGTCTTTTGGTGGAGTTTTGGGGTCTTCTGTGTAGAGTATCATGTCATCTGCAAGTAATGGTAATTTATCTTCTTCCTATCCTAACCGTATTCCTTTTCTTTCTCTTAATTGCCCTGGCTAATGTTTTCAGAACTATCTTGAATAGGAGTGGGCATCTTTGTCTTGCTCCTGATTTTGGAGTGAAAGCCTTCAGTTTTTGTCCATTTAGCATGTGGGTGTTTGGTTTGTCATAGATGGCTTTTAATAGATTGAAATAAAGACATTCTATTCCAATTTTTGCAGTTTTTATCATGAATGTGTATTGGACTTGTCAAACACTTTTGTTGCATCTTTTTTTTTTTTTTTTTTTTTTTTTTTTGGTACCGGGGATCAAACTTAGAACCTTGTGCTTGTGCTTGTGAGGCAGGTGTGGTGCCACTGACTTAAATCCCTGGCCCATCGAGTGAGATGATCATATGGTTTTTGTCAGTGGCTGTGTTAATATAGTGTATTACTTTTATTTATTTACATATGTTGAACTGTCCCTGCATCCCTGGGATGAATCCTACTGGGTCATGATATATAAACTTGGTGATTTGCTACATTCTGTTTGCCAGTATCTTACTGAGGATTTTTGTATCTATGTTCATTAAGAATATTTGCTTTTAGTTTTTGGGCTTTTTGTTTTTGTTTCTGTTTTTGTTTTATACCAGGGATTAAACTTGGGACCTTGCGTTTATGAGACAGGCAGCAGCACCACTGAGCTAAATTCCCAGCCATAGCTCTTTTTTTTATTGGCTCCTTCTCCAGTTTTGCTCAGGTTAATGCTTGCTTCCAGGAATGAATTGGGAGTATTCCTTCACTTTCAAATTCATTGAAGAGCTTGAGAAGGAGCAACATTAGGTTTCCTCTAAGTGAATCTGTCAGGGCCTACCTTTTCTTTGTTGGTAGGTTTTTAATTACATCTTTAATTTCACTGACAGATTTTTTTTTTTTTTTTTTTTGGTACCGGGGATCAAACTCGGGTCCTTGTGCTTGTGAAGCAGGCAGCGGAACCACTGAGCTAAATCCCCAGCCCGAATGATAATGGTTTATTTAGCATTTTTTATATATTTTTTATTCAGTTTTTCTAATTCATATGTATCTAGGGATCTGTCCATTTCTTTTGTTTTCCATCTTTTAGAGTCCTTGAAGCAGGTATCGATGATCCTCTGGATTTCTGCAGGATCTGTTGTGATTTTACTCTTTTGATTCCTAATTGCATGGATTTAAGTCTTTCCCTTTTTTTGGTAAAGTTGGGTAATGGTTTGTCAATTTTATTTAATCTTTCAAAGAACAAACTCTTTAATTCATTGATTCTTTGTAGTTTTTTCTAAGTCTCCACTGCATTAATTTCTGTTCTGATCTTTTATAATTTCCTCCCTCATATGAGCTTTGGGCTTGACTTGCTTTTCTTTTTCTAGAAGCTTGAGGTTCAGCATTAGTTTCTTTACTTTCCTGATATGGGTATTCACCACTATAAATTTCCCTTGTAGAACTGCTTCCATTGCATCCCCTAAGTTCTGGTATAGTATATTGGTATTATCATTTAATTGTAGATACTTTGACCTCCGAACTTGCATTTGAGTTGATACAAGAAACTCCTTTGTTAAACAGATAGTGCCTAGTGAAATGAGGCATCTAACTCAGGGAATTTCACAGAGGTAACCAGCAGGCTGCAGAGCAGCATGTAGGAGCTTTTCTGATGTGTGCATCAGGGCAGTGCCCTGGGCTCAATTCAGGACCAGCTGTGAGCAGCAGGAGCCACTGTGCTCCTCCTTGGAGGTCACTGCGTGCCCTTCCCTCCACTCCCTTCTTATATAAAGGAGCACCCTGGGGAAGGAGAGCACTGTGCAATGTGCAGGGCCTGGGAGGAGGCAGGGACACACCCTCCAGGCATCAGCACCACATGCACCCTGCTCTTCTGCCGTGCCCCACGAACAACTGGCCAGACCTTCGCCACACACACTTACTTGCAATGGTGCCAGCCCACCATACAATGTCTGTTAAATAGGAGGTACCTGTAAAAGAAGGAGAAAAATGTCATGTTAAGTAGGTTCACAAGCTACATATGTCTGAAAGGGGTTTATAAGATGTTATGAGATGCATATTTAGATGTTTGCTTTCTTTTTTTTTTGGGTACCAGGGATTGAACTTGGGTCCTTGTGCTTGAGAGGTAGACAGCAGAACCACTGAGCTAAACCCCTGGCCTATAAGCTGCATATTTAGAACAGAAATCTTCACATAAGAACTGAAATTGAAAATAATGAATGCCATACTGTTTATTCACCCAATAAATAATCTTTAGCCTATACATAGCAGGATAAGAAACCACTAAAAATAGTAAAGATGTTTTTGCAACCAACACTGGCTGACCCAAGGAAATAAACAGCTTTATAGTGGTTTTCTTTGGCATGATTAAGCCACTACAAAGTCTCAAGTATTCTGTGGAATAGAGTTCTCTCCAAGAAGATGTCTAAAGTCCAACTCTCTTGTGCATTCATTATAACCCATTTATATGATAATTTTACTATCATAGGGCTCAAACACTTTCTGCTTAAACAACTTTCCCCTAATTTAGAATCTATGGCTCTTTTTTCAGATCAATGTCCTGGCATTTCAAACCTTACCTCCTTATATTCTCTCCAATACCCCAAGCAGGGTAGGCAGAAGGTGAGAAGCTGCCTGACCTCCTGTCCTGAGGGATAGGTACATGCAGGAAAAGCACCTCCTACCCTCAAGACCTGTTTGTCTTTCTTCAGGTCTCAGAGCTGTTTCTACTGTAGACTAAAGTACCAAATTCTAATAGGATATTTATTTCTCGGGGTAAAATCACAGACTTTGGCATAAGGAACATATTATGGCTGCCTACTTAATGTGGGAGCAGAAGCAGAGCTATAGGTATTATAGTAAGGGCTTTAAAAATGATACAAAATTGCAAGCGCAAGGACCGGAGTTCAATCCCCAGTACCAAAAAAAAATGATACAAAAAAATAAAATTTAAATGATACAATAAGTGGCAAGGACTAATAGAGCTAGGTGCTATTCAGGAGGCTGACTCAGGAAGATAGTCTGAGTGCAGAAGTTCAGGGCCAGCCTACGCAACACTGAACACTGTATCTCAACAACCATCAAACAAAAAACAGAAAAGGAAAAAAAGTAGCCAGGTACGGTGGTGCATACCTAATTCTAACAGTGTAGGAGGCTACCTACCATAGGATTGCATTTCAAGCACAGTCTAGCAACTTAGTGGGACCCTATCTCAGAAAAAAAAAAAAAGTAAAAGGGACCGGGACTTCGAGGAACATGGTGGAGTGATAAACAGCACCAAATCAGCCTCTCTGAGATTCAGAATCCAGACACTAGAATATAACAATTTGCGGAAGAAAAGGAAGAGGTGGATCCTTGGGACCCAGGAAGGATCTGAAGGGAAAGTCAGAGGGCATAGAGTAAAAGAAGAGACAGATCTCAGTGCAGAAAAAGGAGGCGGCAAACTGCACTTTCTCCCTAGCTCCTGGCTCAAGGAGAGGAGGCTCAAATCTACAGAGACACAGTGAGTGCATGTGACTCCAGGGGCCTCCATGGAGAAACACCAGTGGAACAGAGCAGTGAATGCTGTGAGCTACAACAGCTTGTGAGTGGCTCCAGTCCAGGCATCCCCAGAAGAGGGATCTTGGACAGACGCCACTTTGGTGGGGGGCAACTGAACCCAGGACTTGAAGCAGCCATGAGTGGCTTCGTCAGGGCTCCTAGTGACTGAGTGAAGCACAACCACAGGACCCACGCAAGGTGAGGGAGGCGAGGCCATGACAACAAGAGACATCCAGAGTATTGGAGGCTGAACAACTCAGGCCCTAACCACAGAACCAGAACCCTACCCTAATCCTACTGCAGGCTTGCTGGGATTATCCAGGACACAGCCCTAATTCTGCTGAAGGCTTGCTGGGATCATCCAACATGGATCTTGGCTCTGTCTGCCTCCTTTGTCTACCACAGCAGAGACACACCCTGATTGGGCACTACCAAAATGTTGTGTTCCCCAGAAGAGAGCCACAGGCCTGAAATCATAGAAAAATCTCTTATCTTTGCTTTTTTTTTCCTTTACTCTTGTTGCTTGTTTTTTCACATGAACATCACTTTTAGGTTTTCTTTAAATTTATTCTTATTTTGTTTTTTCCTTCAATTTTCCTCATGTCTTCTTTACTAGTGTCCTAAAGCTTGGGTAATCTTCCTTTGTCCTTCAGCCTTGTTTCTAATCTTTTTCTCTTCTTTTATTTCTCTATTTTTTCCATCTATCCCTTTTAAATTTTCTTCCAAGGGTAAAACTGCTTTTGGGTTAGGGATGTAGCTCAGTGGTACTGCACCTGCCTGGCAAGCACAAGGTCCTGAGTTTGATCCTCAGTACCCCCCCTCAAAAAAAAAAATTCCTCTAATTTCCCATTTGTTTTAGATATTATAATATACTATAAATCTTGTACTTGTTGTTAAAGGTGGCAAAATGGAGCCGGGCATGGTGGCACACGCCTGTAATCCCAGCACTTGGGAGGCTGAGGCAGGAGGATTGCTGTGAGTTTGAGACCAGCCTGGGCTACATGATGACTTCCTGGTCAGTCTCAACTACATAGCAGGACCCTATCTCAAAAAAACAAAAACAAAACAAAGAACAACAACAAAAAAAAGGTGGCAAATTAAGTTACCACCTTTTTCCATTTTCTAGAGTATGCTTGATGCTATTGTAATTACTGATTGTAGTATTTTAGCCAAGGTTATTGTGATCAGTTGTTCATCCTTGCATGCTAATATCAAGATTGTCTGGGAGGCATAAACAATAACATAGTCCAGAACCAAAGAATGGAGTGCTAGGCCCAACAGGCAGCAAATTCTCATCCCCAATAAACAGAAAAGGCAGGATCTTGGAACAGACTCAGAAGCCAAAAGCCAAGGAGTCACGTAGAGCTGAGCCATGGTCTCCAGAGACCTCTCAGTCGCTGAAGCAGAGCTGAGTTTCTGGGAGATCGAGGCAGCCCACCATGAACTGAAAATGCCGAAGCCAATCAATGTCCAGGTCACCATAATGGATGCAGAGCTGGAGTTTGCCAAATACCACTGGAAAGCAGCTTTTTGATCAGGTGGTTAAGACAAACGGCCTCCAGGAAGTGTAGTACTTTGGCCTCCAGTAGGTGGACAACAAAGGATTTCTGACCTGGTTGAAACTTGATAAAAAGGCATCTGCCTAGGAGGTCAGGCAAGAGAACCCCCTCCAGTTCAAGTTCTGGGCCAAGCTCTACCCTGAAGACATGTCTGAGGAGCTCATCCAGGACATCACACAGAAGCTGTTCTTTTGGGTGAAGGAGGGGATCCTTAGTGATGAGATCTACTGGCCCCCTGAGACAGCTGTGCTCCTGGGGTCCTTCACTGTGCAGGCCAAGTTTGGAGACTACAACAAGGAAGTGCACAAGTCAGGGTGCCTCAGCTCTGAGAGGCTGATCCCACAGAGGGTCATGGACAAGCACAAACTCACAAGGGACCAGTGGGAGGAGCGGATGCAAGTGTGGCATGAAGAATTTTTTGTGCTCTACGCCCCATGCCTGAGAACTAACAAGCGGATCCTGAAGCTCTGCACCGGGAACCATGAGCTGTACATGCACTGCAGGAAGCCCAACACCACTGAGGTGAAGCAGATGAAGGTCCAGGCACGGGAGGAGAAGCATCTGAAGCATCTGGAGCAACAGCAGCAGCTGGAGACCGAGAGGAAGAGGAGAGAGACTGCTAAGAGGGAGAAGGATGCCTGAGAACTAACAAGCGGATCCTGAAGCTCTGCACCGGGAACCATGAGCTGTACATGCACTGCAGGAAGCCCAACACCACTGAGGTGAAGCAGATGAAGGTCCAGGCACGGGAGGAGAAGCATCTGAAGCATCTGGAGCAACAGCAGCAGCTGGAGACCGAGAGGAAGAGGAGAGAGACTGCTAAGAGGGAGAAGGAACACATGCTATGAGAGAAGACACTGATGCTACAGATGCAGGGCTATGAGAAGAAGACCAAGAAAGCAGAAAAGGAGCTTTCTGACCAGACCCAGAGGGCCCTCCAGCTGGAGGACGAGAGGAAGCAAACCCAGGAGGAGGTCGAGCACCTGGAGGCTGACTGGGTAGCTGCACTGCGGGCCAAGGAGAAGCTGGAGAGACAGGCAGATCAGACAAAGAGCCAGGAGCAGCTGGTTATGGAGCTCGCAGAACACACTGCCAAGATCGCCCTCCTGGAAGACGAGGTGGAAGAGTGGCCTCACAGGGCCAAAGAAGCCCAGGGCAACCTGGTGAAGGCCAAGGAGGAGCTGCACCTGGTGATGACAGCCCCGCAGCCCCCACCACCACCTGTATATGAGCCCAGGAGTTACCGAGTGCAGGAGAGCCTGCAGGAAGAGGATGTGAGTCCGTGGGCTACAGTGCTGAGCTGTCCAGGGAGGGCATCCTGGACGACCACAGTGAGGAGGAGAAGCACATCACCAAGGCCGAGAAGAACGAGTGTGTGCAGCGGCAGCTGCTGACTCTGAGCAACGAGTTGTCCCAGGCCAGAGATGAGAACAAGAGGACCCACAATGACATCATCCACAACAAGAACATGAGACAAGGCCGAGACAAGTACAAGACCCTGCACCAGATCCAGCAGGGCAACACTGAGCAGCGCATTGATGAGTTCCAGGCCATGCAGAGGCCAGGGCAGTGCCAAGGGCACCTGGCAGCAGGGCTCTACTGAGAGTCAGGGCAGCCTCAACACACTGGCTCTTTAGTGTGCTCAACCCAGAATGCCCTCACCATGTTCAGGTCCTTTAAGAAAGAGCAGTTAAGGGCCAGGGACGTAGCTCAGGGATTCCGCCGCCTGCCTTGCAAGTGCAAGGACCCGAGCTCGATCCCTGATACCAAAAAAGAAAGCGTTACCTAGTGGAAGTACTTTGGGCCAGGTGCCACCCTGGTTATTTTTCCCAGCTGTATCATAGTGCCAAACAGGCCTGATTCTTATAATTATCAAATCATTTTCCTGTCATATGCTTGGAGCAGGACTGATGGAATTAAGATGCCTGTAAAATCCAAGTTCAAACTTCACACTGGCCTGTGTGATGCAGGGTTCACTATCATCAAAGAAACCACATCGTGGCTTACATCTGTGCCATACTTCTACTTTTGAAATGAGTTTACACTGATTTGTTCTTGATTGCTATGAAGGATCCATCTTTTATATCTACAGGTTTTGAGGGATAAAAAATTAAGTCTAAACTAAAGCCCTCTCATACACACAGTGATTTCCTTCTTCTGACTTTCTGTTCAGCTAGCAGAGATCTGTCATGGTCGGTCATGGGATGGATGATACAGGAGGACTCTCCAATAAACTTGGTTTTTTGCTTAAACGTTTAGAAGAATACATTGTTGGACTTACACCTAATAATCAGTGATAGAATATAGTATTTATATGTAAGTGATAATATGGGTTTGCGACAGTTGTTTAAAAGAGTTTTGTACTGTATATTTTGTTATCTTTTACATAATAAAAGAATTAGGAGCTGGGCGTGGTGGCACATGCCTGTAATCCCAGCACTCGGGAGGCTGAGGCAGAAGGATTGCTGTGAGTTCAAGCCCAGGCTGGGCTACATAGTGAGTTCCAGGTCAATCTCAACTACACAGTGAGACCCTGTGTCAAAAAACCAAAAAAGAATTAGAGTAGGGATTTACCTCAGTGGTTTCACTGCCTGCCTTGCAAGCACAAGGACCTGAGTTCAATACCCCCGTACAAAACAAACAAACAAACAAACAAAACCAAACATCAAACCCCAGAATAAAAGTTACATATTAAAAAAAAAAAAAAAAAAAAAGCCAGCTACACCTAGAAGATATCTCTGAAAAGTAGTCATTTGCTAGGGAGGTCTTGATACTAGTAATAAAGCAATTTACAAGCATCAATGTAGAAAACAAATTTTAAAAATAAAAATTGAGAAGACAGAAGCAAGATACAATCCCAGACTTCCAGCTCACCCAAGGCAAATCCAGGAAGCAATGAGGTGGAAGAAATCAAAAGCCTCTCAGCTGAACTTTCTGAAATGGTAGCAGCAGAAGTAACAAAGTAGATCAATGAATCTCTAGAAAAACACAAATCAGAAATAATTTCACAGATAACTACAAAAATGATGACCATAATGAAGGACATGGTTAGTGAATCTAGAGTAGATACAGACAAAAACAACAGAGGAGCTTAAGACAGTGATGAAAACAATGAATGCCCAACATAGGAAAGAACTGGATTTCATGAAACAGATTCAAACAGATAACCTGAAGATTAAAAATTCTATTGAAAGTATACAGAGCAGAATCATCCAATGTGAGGACAGAATATCAAATACAGAAGACAGGTTTGTGGTTAGCGATCATCAATTGAAAGACTTCTTAAAAATAGCAAAGGAACACAAAAAATCAATCTAGCAGCTGATAGATGATGAACAAAACACAAGATTGATCATAATCAAAAGATAGCACAAAGGATATAAAAACTTCCTCACGGAAGTAATGGCAGAAAACTTCCCAGGCATGGAAAAAGAATTTGACATACAGATAAGTGAGGCATTCAAAACTCCAATTATCCATGAAAAGGTAAAAACTATGTCAAGGCATATTCTAGTGAAGATTCCAGAAACTCAACCCAAGAACAGAATATTAAAAGCTATTAGAGAAAAGAAACAAATCACATATAAAGGAAAGCTCATAAGAATCACAGCAGACTTCTCCACACAAACCCTTAAGGCAAGGAGAGTTTGGGAGGCAGGCAGCGGAACCACTGAGCTAAATCCCTGGCCATTGAGGCAAGGAGAGTTTGGAATGAAGTATTTCAAGCCCTAAAAGAAAACAACCTCCAACTTAGATTGATGTACCTGCATGATTTTCTCTCAAAATTGGTGGAGAAATAAGATACTTCTGTGATAAAGAAACCTACCGCCAAACCAGTACAACAAAAAGTTCTGAAGGACACCAAGAAAAAAGAAAAAACAAAAAATAAAAAAACCACTTCTGAGAATCTAAATAGAATGGATCCACAAGGCAATGCAATATATTAAACGGAGGGGAAAGAAAGGGAACCAACAGTGAGAGAATAATATGACAAGGATTAGTCAATACATAACAGTTATAACCATCAATGTGAATGGTCTCAATTCACCAGTCAAAAAAAAAAAAAAAAAAAAAACAACCAGACTGATAGAATGGATCGAGAAACAAGATTCAACAATATGTTGCATACAAGAAATATATTTAACTCAATAAAAATACACAGACTGAAATTCAAAAGATGGAAAACAATACTCCAACAGGAACACAGAAAAAAACAGGGGTAGATATTCTATTTGCAAAGTGAATTTCAAGCCAGGACTGATCAGAAGAGACAAGATTACTTCATACTTATTAAGGGAACACTCCAAGAGGAAGAAATAACCACCATAAATATATATGCACCAAATAACAGCTCACCCAACTATATAAAAAAAACACTAATGGATATGAAAAAATCAAATAACCACTGATACAGCTGTAACGGGGGCCTCAATACCCCACTGTCACAAATAGATCAACTACACAAAAAATAAAGGAATGTTAGAGCTGAATCAAACTTTTGAACAAATAGACTTAGTAGATATCTAAAGAGTTCTACCCCACAACGATACATATTCTACTCAGCTGCACGTGGGATTTTCTTCAAAGCAGACTACATACTATCTTGCTCACAAAACATGCTTAAGTAAATACAAAGGAAATGAAATTATCCTATGCATATTATCAGAGCATAGTGCAATGAACTGGAAATGAAGGGTAAAAAAACTACATAAACCATGGAAATTGCATAACACCCTCCTGAACAACCAATAGGTCGCAGATGAATTTAAAGAAGAAACCTGACAGTTTCTACAATTAAACAGTATTCAATATAACATACTGGAACTTTTAGGATGCAATGAAAGCAGTCCTACAAGGGAAATTTATAGTAGTGAATTCCCAGATAAGAAAAACAGTGCAAGCTCAAACAAACAACCTAATGTTCAACCTCAAGCTTCTAGAAAAGAAAGCAGTGAAGCCCAAAGCCCGTACAAGGAAAGAAATTATAAAGAGCAGAGCAGAAATTAATGCAATGGAAACTAAGAAAACAATACAAAAAAAAATGGATTTAGGGTTGGGTCTTTGAAAAATTAAATAAAATAGATAAATTTAGCCAATCTTACCCAAAAAAGGAAAGAAAATACTCAAATCCATGCAATCAGGAATGAAAAGGGTGAAATCATAACACATCCTGCAGAAATTCAGAAGATCGTCAATACCTAAACTTCAAGAATCTCTAGGGCTGGGGACGTCGCTCAATGGTGCCCGTGCCTGCCTCCCAATAGCAAGCACGAGATCCCAAATTTGATGCCCAGTACAAAAACAAACAACCCATACTGTAGTAAGATGGAAAACATAAGAAATAGATAGATACCTAAATACATATGAATTGCCAAAGCTGAATCAAGATATCAGTGAAATTGAAGATGTAATTTTAAAACTACCAAAAATAAATAAATAAAATAAAAAATACCAACAAAGAAAAGCCCAGGTCTAAACAAACTCACTGCTGAGTTCTACAAGAAATTTAGACAAGATCTAATGTCCCTACTCCTCAAACCTTTAACTTAAAAGGAAGTAATACTTTCAAACTCATTCTTGGAGGCAAGCATTACCATTACCTAAAACGAGAAGGATCCAACCAAAAAAAAGGAACTACAGGCCAATCTCCTTAATGAATACAGATGCAAAAATCCTCAATAAGATACTGGCAAACAGAATGTAGCAAATCACCAAGATTATATATCACAACCAAGTAGGATTCATCCTAGGGAAGCAGGAATGGTTCAACTTATGCAAATCAATAAAAGTAATACACCATATTGACAGAACTAAGATAAAACCACACGATCATCTCAATAGACACAGACAAGCATTTGACAAAGTCCAACACCCATTCGTGATAAAAACCCTACAGAAAATTGAAATAATCTGATAAAAGCCATCTATGACAAACCAACAGCCAACATCATACTAAATGGACAAAAACTGAGAACTTTCCCTCTAAAATCAGGAACGAGGCAAGGATGTCCAATGTCACCAGTCCTATTCAACATAGTTCTGGAAACATCAGCCAGAACAACTAAATAAGAGGAAGAAATAAAAGGAATGAGGGTAGGAAAGGAAGAAGATAAATTACCATTATTTGAGAATGACATGATACTCTACATACAAAACCCCAAATACTCTGAAAAGACACCTAGATTTAACACCAAATTCAGTAGTATAGCAGAATAAAAAAAAATTAACAGGGCTGGGGGATCTAGCTAAGTGGTGCCACCACCTGCCTCACAAGTGCACGGTCCTGAGTTCGATCCCCAGTACTTAAAAAAGGAGCTCAAAGAATGTATCAGAAATGGTGCCGGGGATTTAGCTCAGTGGTTCCGCCACTTGCCCTGCAAGCTCAAGGACTGCAGTTTGATCCCTGGTACAAAACAAAACAAAACAAAACAATTTTGGGCTAGGGATTTAGCTCAGCCATTCTGCTGCCTACCTAGCAAGCTTAAGGACCTGAGTTTGGTCCCTGGTACCAATAAAAAAAAAAAAAAAAAAAAACAAGGAAAGAAAGAAAAAGAAAATGGTATGATATCTGTTGTTCTGTGAGAAAAAAGGAACCCTTC